ATATATATATATATATATATATACACACACACACACACACACACACAGCTGGTATCAGTTATTTAAAAATGTGTTATTATCATATTTTATTATAATTTTATGCAATTTTGTGTTTTCAAAAATATATACAAAACATATTGTATTGTATTGTATTGTATTATATTATATTATATTATATTATATTAGTCCCTTTAAAACCTGTTATTACACCTTATTTAAAAAAAAAAGTGAGTTGAACCATATTTTCTGTTGCTTATCAATATGAGAATCTTTAAAGGACTTTTTTATTAAATTCCCTAATTTCTTTCTCTTGTGCCATTTTTTCATTCTGTCTCTATGACTCTCTCTGTTCCTGCAGCGAACCACAGTGTGAAGCAGTGTCGGACGCCCTGTGCCCTGCGCTCTTCCTGTAGTGAGTGCACCAGTGGGAGCTCAGAGTGCATGTGGTGCAGTAACACGAGGCAGTGCGTGGACTCTAATGCTTATGTGGCATCCTTCCCCTACGGCCAGTGCATGGAGTGGTACACCATGAACAGCTGCCCACGTACGTCTGACTCTCATTTAGCGGATTCATGCCTGGCAGCTTGTGTCTTGTTTTCTCTTTGTAAATCGAAGATTGAACATTTGCATGTCTTCTGTTTATTGACTTGTAGTAGACAAAACAGTCTTTACAACTGTCATAAAATCAGTTAAGATGAATATACTAATAATAACTTTACCGTCAAGGGTTCACTTTGAGTTGGTTGCACTGCGTGACCCCTTTTACAAATGGGTGTGTGTTTTTATTGTAGCGGAGAATTGTTCTGGCTACAAGACCTGTGGTCACTGTTTGGACCAGCCTGGCTGTGGGTGGTGCACTGATCCCAGCAATACAGGACGGGGCCAGTGTATAGAGGGCTCTTACCGCGGCCCAATTCAAACACTGTTCCACGCCCCTTCCTCTTCAGGCCCCTCCCTCATTCCCGCCCCTCAGCCAATGCTGAACGTGAGCTTGTGCCCACTAGAGGGCAGCTACAACTGGTCCTTTATCCAGTGCCCAGGTAAAACTCATGTGACTTATATAAGTTGTTCTATATTGGTTGAGTTTGACAAGTAAAAAAGTATGAATGAATATTGTGATGATAAATTGAATTGGATAACAAAATGTCTCTTTGACGCTAATATACTTAAAACGTGTATAAAATTAAGCAACATTGTGAATATTGCAGTGCTTTTTTTGGTTATTAATAATATTTCTATTTAAAGAATCCTGGAAAAAAAAATCCATCACAGTTTCCACAAAAGTATTATACAGCACAAGCGTTTTCAACATTGATAATACTACAAAATGTTTCAGCATTTTAGAATAATTTCTTAAGGATCATGTGACATTGTAGAGTGGAGTAATGGCATCACAGGAATATAATACATTTTAAAATATATTAAAATAGAAATATATTATTTTAAATTGGAATAATGTTTCACAATATTACTGTTTTTACTGTATTTTTGATTAAATAAATGCAGCCTTTCATAAACATTAAAACAAATCTTATAGACCCACACATTTTGAACAATATTGTACTTCTACTAAAAAAAGTTGTTATTTGAGATAATATAAATTAAAATTATTAAATATAATTGGTTTTTAAAAAAAACTGGAAAACGTGCCTTGATCATTTAATTCTTAATTTAAACATTGTGACTATTATGAATGTTGAATAACCTTTTAAATCCATTTTAGAGAAAATGTAATTATCATAATGTACAGTGTGTATAGAAAAGAATCACTCCCTTTAAAATATTCACATTTTGTTGCTTTGCAGCCTGAAATGAAGACGGGCACAGTTTTTGTTTTATCCAGCTGTATTTACTCAGTGCAACTTATAACATCCAAACGAAAGATATAACACCAACATCAGAAAAAACAAACAAACAAAAAAACTAGAATGACTAGAGTTGGAAAAAGGATCACCCCTCCTAAAAATGACTTGTACACGCAATCAGGTGTAAAACAAAAACTGTGTCCGTCTTCATTTCAGGCTGCAAAGCAACAAAATGTGAATATTGTAAAGGGAGTGATTCTTTTCTATACCCACTGGAAATTGAAGCATTAAATAGCTGACAAAAACAACTTTTTAAACATAAATTGCTCTGGCGCTTTTTGTAGCTACTTTTATCTCAGTTTGACTTCAGATAATGTTGCTGTTTTATAATGTTGATCATGTTTTCTTCAGTTTTTCGGTTTGTTCCTCTCTCATGCAGCATGCCAGTGTAACGGACATAGCTCTTGTGTCAATGAGAGTGTATGTGAGAGATGCGAGGACCTCACCACAGGCAAACAGTGTGAGAGCTGCATCTCCGGTTACTATGGCGATCCCACAAACGGGGGCAGCTGTCAGTGTAAGTCTAAACACAAGCCCTTGTCAAAATAAAGTTGGCTTTTGCTGGCAGTTTGATAGGGTCTTAACTGGATGTGTGTGTTGGTCATTTGCAGCTTGTAAGTGCAACGGCCATGCCAGCATGTGTAACTCTAACAATGGCAAATGCTTCTGTACCACCAAAGGCATCAAAGGAGACCGCTGCCATTTGTAAGTGTGCGCACACACACTCGTTCTGCCTCAGTCTCATGAGGTTTTCGCCACTCTGCCATTATAAGTAATTTGTCAAATGTACGACGGATAGCTTATCGTTATCTTGTCTATATCAAACTCTGTTCTTTATAATTCTACTCATTTTCACTCTGGGCTTTTGTTTCATTCTGTCCCTCAGGTGTGAGGTAGAGAACCGTTACCAGGGCAACCCTCTGAAGGGAACGTGTTATTGTGAGTATGTCAGTGCAGCGGCTGATGGCTGTTCACATTGTGGCTAATTGAGTCATTTAGTCATTTTCAGAATTACTCATTTTCCTTATTTGACTAAATCAGACAGAAACCACAAACCTGCGCGTGCCAGTTAGTCTGTGAAAATGTCCAGATTTTTTTTTTCTCTGAGTAATCTGTTCAATATTATCTTTTATCCTTTTCCTCTTTCTCACACACAAAACTATATCTTTATCTCTGACGCACAGACACTCTGCTGATAGATTACCAGTTTACCTTCAGTTTGTCTCAGGAGGACGACCGCTACTACACTGCCATCAACTTTGTGGCAACTCCAGATGAGGTGCGTTATGCTGAAAAGACTTCACTGTTCAGAAAGGGCCTTTTTTTTTTTTCTTGTACAGTCATGGTCAACTAGGTGTCAATAAATCAAGGCTGACATCTTACCTTGATTTGCAAACACAACAAACCATATAGTGAACTAATTTGATTGATGTGCATTTGGACATCTGATGTTATTGTTATCAATAAAAAAAAATTTTTCCATACATTTATTCAGCATTTCACTGTTGAACAGAGGAAACAATAGAGCATCGAGGGGGTTTACCAAGGGCACATTCTTAAGTTAAAATTGAGCAGAAACACAATAGATCAGAAGCTTCTTGTCAGAAGGTTCCTCATGTACTTTGTGAGGTCCATCTTTTATATATATATATATATATATATATATATATATATATATGTGTGTGTGTACACACATATGGGGTCAGTAAAATATCTTTATGAAATTAATACTTTTACTCCGCGAGAATGCATTATTTTGATCAGAAATGACAGTTAAGACAGATTATATGTATTTTTTTTTTATCTTTTCTATTTATCAAATAATTTTTGGGAAAAAAGTACCATGGTTTCCACAAAAATATTAACAAAATATAGGGACTTTAAATGTAATGACTTATGAAATAAAAGGGACTTTTATTTGATTTGATTTTTTTTTTTTTTTTTGGAGTTGACACTCAAGCAGAAGACATAGATGTGCATCAATTTGCAAAGCGGATCATGCTGTAAATCGTGCTGCTAATATGTCATGGTATAAACGTTACAGCAGAATGTCTTTATAGCTTGTGAAAAAAGTTTGGGCCTATAAAAATACATTTTAGAGGGTGTATATTTTTATTTGATTCTTTCATATTTTGGCTTGTTTTGTCTGAATGTTTTTTGGGATTTCTCTTGCAGCAAAATCGAGACCTGGACATGTTTATTAATGCCTCAAAAAACTTTACCCTCCTGTCATGGGTGTGAGGGATTCTGGGGGGTTTTGACTTTTTTTTTTAATGGAAACCCCCTTTAATAAGCAGTACTTTTTGTAAGAATAACACAATCTGTTGACTTTTTTTTTTTTTTATTTTTTTTTTTTTTTTTGGAGTTGACACTCAAGCAGAAGACATAGATGTGCATCAATTTGCAAAGCGGATCATGCTGTAAATCGTGCTGCTAATATGTCATGGTATAAACGTTACAGCAGAATGTCTTTATAGCTTGTGAAAAAAGTTTGGGCCTATAAAAATACATTTTAGAGGGTGTATATTTTTATTTGATTCTTTCATATTTTGGCTTGTTTTGTCTGAATGTTTTTTGGGATTTCTCTTGCAGCAAAATCGAGACCTGGACATGTTTATTAATGCCTCAAAAAACTTTAACCTCAACATCACATGGGCAACCAGCTTTGCAGGTATGGAGCCCAGTCATCATGTGTTAAACATATATTGTAAGCACATAATAAATGCGCTGTGTGTGCTGTTGAATCTCTCTTCCTTCCTGTAACCCTGCATTTCTTCCTTTCTGAGCAGCTGGGACTCAAGCTGGTGAGGAAATCCCTATAGTCTCCCGCAGCAACATAAAGGAATTCAAAGACAGTTTCTCCAACGAGAAGTTCGATTTCCGTAGCAATGCCAACATTACCTTCTACGTGTATGTCAGCAACTTCACCTGGCCAGTCAAAATCCAGGTGAGAGGAGTCCAGTGACGTACACAGAAAAATATCACGGCTGTGTGTGTGTGAGCACCATTTAAACATCAGCGAGGGTCTTTGTGTTTTGTTTTGCTGTCTTATTCTCTCCTTCCGTCTGTAAATTCACACAGGCCGTGTCCTTTTATTATTTCTCATATATCTTTGGCCTTTTCTGTCTGGTCTGGAAATGATTTGGCAGAGCCGCCCCCCCTCTTCTCTACTCCTTTCCTCCTCTTTTCCTTTCCCCCTCCTCTCTTCCTTTGCTTTGGAAAGTGATCTAACTTACCCTCCTGTGCTAGGACGCTGAAACTCAGAGTTTGGGTTTGATTTTCCGTCCACTATTCTAGAGCACGTTCTCTCCTCAGCTCATGGAGAAAGGGTGAATTTCTCACAGGTAACGCCTTATTGTCTCTCTCGTTCGCCTTTCGCTTCTCTAACTGACCTTTGAATGCCACGTTTCATCTAACAGAGGTTGTATATGCAGATCCGAGCGCGAATGTGGGCGAGAGGGGTCGCGCCGTGGTAACTGGAGGACAGAGGGGCTGTTGTCAGGCGTTTAGAGGAGAACGACGAGAGGGTTTGGGCTGGAGAAAAACGCAGCGCTTGAAACCTGCTCTGTAAAGATGGCAGGCTGAGACTGAGAGTGTCAGAAGGAATATTAAGTTGAAACACATGGCTCTTTGAGAGAGAGAGAGACTGAGAGGAATAAGAGAGATCAGAAAGTTCAGAAGAGGCACAGTTCCAGCCTTCTGTTTCTGCCTCTTGTTTTCTTTTTGCCTTTGGTCAAAGATTCTGTGCAGCCCGTGTAGTTTTTGGCCAATGGAATGGAAGCGTGTATGCGTGTGAATCTAAACAAGAGTATAGTAGGAGCGTTCATGTGACGAGTTTCTGTATGCATGTTATTTAAAAGCAGAATGTGATTGAATCCCTCAAAAACATTTACAGGTCACATTTCAACCCCAAATCTAATTTTTTTCATTTTGCATAAAGACTTCTTTCTTATGAATCACATAATAGTGAAGTTCATTTAACTTCAAATTCTTAATAATACCAAAAACAGTCCAGACATTTTCCTTTGTGTTTGCATTTTTACATTTTTAATTGGTGTAAATAAAAATTCATGTAAACAACAACAAACGCTACCACTGTGTCTAAATACAGTTGAAATAGTATAATTATTTATTCACATAATTTTTTTTGGCTTCATTGTCATTGGGGTGAAATATGACTAAAGCTACCTTTCCAACATTCATGCGACTGTCAAATTTTGCACCCTGGAAGTAGCCTGTTACCCTCTGCTTTTTCACCATAGTAAAATGAATGAGTAATGAATGTATGAATATCCACACAAACAAGCAAATAACCGCCTTTAGAGCTGAAATAATGAAAAACAAAGAAAAAAAAAATAAGTAGGTTTTGTAGTGCTAATCAACATAATTATAATACCGTTATTATGGACATAATTCATAACCGTCCATTTTACAAAAGTAGTATTTATAAATAATGTTTTAGTGCAAATATGTTGGTAATTTGACCTCCCGGTCATAGTTTTGATTAGAGTTCTTCACGCCCGGTCGGTGTTTGCATACAGTCTAGCTGCAGAAGTTTACATATTTCTGCACAGTCAAAGCTCAGATCAGATCTGAAAATTCTGTATACACTAAAACTCTACACAGCTCTGTCATTTGTCGGAGAGAGTGGAAAGGCAGGTTTAGACACATTTTTGACAGGTTTTTGTGAGATTCAGCTGCTTAAAAAATGACACGCTTTAAAATACACTGGACTCATTCTTTTTAGCCCAGTTTAATGTTCAGAGACAAGTCTTATATTCATAGGTCGACTTCATGAGGAGTGTAAACACCAGAGCTGTGTCACGCTGTCAAAACATTGCTCTGTTTGTTTGAGCAGTGCGACATGTCAACTTCTGCCTCAGCCAATGGCACGAGTTTGGGGTGGGACTGGCTGTTTGTGCAGACAATGGCAGATGGGGGCAGAATGTAAAAAGTGTTTGAGACCTCAAACTTCAGAATCCAAATTTGGATTTTTGCGTTTCATAGTGGTTCAGAAATGACACACTCCTCCGTTCATCTTGTAAGAGTTATTAGCAAATGTCTGATTCTACAGGCTTATGTTCTGTCAGTGATGATTGCTGTACATTCGTTTTTTAGGTTTAATCCTCCTCCACGGATCACACAAAATAAAACAGACTTCATTTACACTGGTTAGCTAACCTTGGCAGGTGGACCAGAATGTTCTCTCTTGTTTAGATTGGGTAAGCCACATCATTATCTCTTAAAACATGACTAACAAGCTATGTATAGTGTTTACGTCACACACACCACATGAATGCCGTGTGAGACACAGGTTGTCATGTGTGAATGACAGTGATAAGTGGGATTGCTATTGTTTCATGTTGAATGTGTGTGGGTATCAGTGCTGTGAGTCAGGCCCCGTTTGTCTTTGAGACTGTGCGTCTGAATATGAGGAGGTTGTGGCGTGTGAGGGAGGTCGTATCAGCGCACAGCATCTGCTCAATGAGAGCTCTGTGTGAATTCACCCTCCATGCTGTGGACGTCTGGCAATGCTCTCTTTTACCCTGTTCTCTCCCTCTCCCTCGCTGAAAATCCTGTGCTTATTTTGGAAATGCCTGAAGGAATAGAGGAGGGAAGAGTGAGCTTGTTTGAAAGCAGGTAAAAGATGGAGAGAAAATGACTGTTTTAAAGTGGAAACTTCTCTGGTGTGTCCCCTAGACTCTGCCCTCCTTATGGTAGACGGCTTAAAGACTGCATCCATAAACAGAGAGCCAGGAATGATATAAAGCCATTGCACTGCTCATTTCAGTGGTATGAAATGAAAGGGTCATTTTAAACTCTCTTTTAACATAATTGTGGGCTTGTTTCATGTTTCACACGCTGGGTTAGTAATTAATTCTGACTTATCAGGTTTTCTTATTTCATGCTGTACGTTTGCGAATCCTGGGTTAACATTCTCATTTGCATATTTACAAGGTTAATAACACTGATTTGACAAGTACAGCTCGTAGTGAGCGTGTGACCAGTTTTAATAACAGCTTGACCATCTGGGTAAACGTCGACATGTAAATCTTCTCTGGTTGCCTTATATATTCTGAAAAATACTAGGAAGAAAAAAACTGAATGAAAATGCAGAGGAGCATTTGCCATCACTTTTCAATTCTTTTTTTCCTCCATTAGACACTAAACACAATGTGTGAAAGTTGTACAAGTGTTGTATTAATATCTAATGAAGTAAGCAATGATATTGCCTGTTGTTAAATAACTCCACATCCGCAGTGTTTTACACTCTATACTGGGGTTTTCAAACTGAAAGGGGGCCGTAAGGGAGTGCTAGGGAGTCCATAGAAAAAGTATAGAGAAAAACAGAAGAAAAAAAATAAATAGAAAATACTAAATAACCAATTAATTGGATTACTTAAAAAAATAATATTTTAAATAAAACAAATATTTAGTCAAATATATTTAAATAATTGTAAAAATATGTATTTCAATTTTATGATGTTTATAGAATTTAAATGGTATTATTTATTTAACAGTAACCACATGAATTACTTTGAACTTCTGAAGCCATAGATAAACATAATAATAATAATACATAATAATAAATAAATAAAAATTCCAAATTCCCCTGCTCTATACCTTTGGTACTGCAGTAGGACTTTAGCATAAAATATCAATCCTTTTGTGGAACAGGCATGAGTAACCCAGAATTAAAAGTGCTGCTCTTTTCAAAATTATAGGTTTGAAACATTGCTTAAAAGTGCTTTACCTGGTCTTAATAAATACACTAGCTCAGGGTTAATACTAGTGTGGAAAGACATTGCTCTTTGTCAACCTTTACTCTCTCGTTGTTATTGGAGGTCCGTCATAATAACATAGTCGTGCCAAAATAATATGATTACATATTTGAATTAGAATGGAGAGTCTGAAACTGTAGAGATGCTCTTTTCTCTTGATCATGTGTGGGGAGAGAAAGAGAGAGAGAGAGACGTATAGCAGCAGGGGGCAGTATTGGTACAGTCAGAAACTAAACATTTGCTCTCATGTCCTATTTAGACAACAAAAAACGCATGTACACAGAAGCGTGTAAATGAATGTTTTTCCTCCCTATTTAACACCCATTTCTCTTCTCCTCAGATCGCTTTCTCTCAACACAGTAACTTCATGGATTTGGTTCAGTTCTTTGTCACGTTCTTCAGGTAAGGCACTTTGCTTGTGTTATAAGCAAGCATATGAATTACTCAAGTCTTTGATGATCTTTGAACTTCTAACGCCACAGATATTCTCACATACCCATTTGAATCTAAATTTTGTAAATTTTTTAATGGAACACATTGGGCTCTAGTGTGTTCGGGGTGTGATTATGGCTCTAAGCTCTAATTCACCTCTGGAGGACTTGCTGTAATATGTTATTGATTCAGGAAGCAGGTGGCGTAGACCGTATATAGCAAATTCACCCCATGTTTCTGTCACATACACACATTCTCACACATTCTGCCATGCCGCTTGTTACACTTCTTACTGGTTCACTAACAGCAAAAGTGTGATTAAAATATGATAATCTCTCAGATGTGGTCATGCATCATGTATGAAGACGCATATGATTCATACACTGCATGTACACACACGTAACATACCAACTGTGGCTGTGGTCGGCCATGGTTCCTCATCATTAGTTATGTCAGCTCAGCCATGATAAATTGCACCAACTCTTCATGGCCTTGGTGTGTGTGCGCGTGTGTGTGGGTGAGCTATTCCCAAAACCCAGAGCGAATGTTTTTCAGCTCTGCACACATCTGCACTTATAAGGTATAAACATGCACCTACACATTTATGATTTCCTCACATACAGCCCAGTTTTCCTATACATGAGAGGCGCATTCATGAGCTTTGGCCCCGTTACCATGAGGATACCAACACTCCTGATCTTTAGCACACCTGCGGCTATGAAACTACCTCTAATTCATTAAACATGAACAGCCCCGTGTGTGCTTGAGATGTGATCTTGGCATGGCTCGGTTGGAACATGGTCATTTCATTGTTTTCCATAAAAGAACATCCAAAAACGTTTACTGATTGTCCTCTTCCATTTCCCATTTTGTCTTGTGTGTGTGTGTAGCTGTTTCCTGTCCTTGCTTCTGGTGGCAGCAGTCGTATGGAAGATAAAACAGAGCTGCTGGGCGTCACGGCGCAGAGAGGTCAGTGCTGTAGCATTTCCCTTGTTACCTGTGGAATTTCATTGACTTTCCCTGCCTCTTGCTGCTCTACACAGCTTTGAACCATCCCATTAATGTCACATCAGCATCTCTGAATGCTGTCAGTCAGGCTGGACAGATCCATCTGTTAGGCTGTTTTTGGACAATTCCACTAGAAGTTTGTCTCTGTCTTTTGTTTTTTTTTATCATTATTTGTTTTTTTCTTTAATGGCGGTTACTGATATCTTGTGAGCATTTTGTTGGTTTTATGCAATTTAGTTACATTTCAGCTACACAAACTATTTAAGTGGATTTATAAAGTTAGTATTAAGAAATATTCTCATGGTGTGAAGCAATTGGTTTTCTTAAATGGTTGGAGTGACCTTAGCTTTTTGGTTTTACAGTGTATACTTAATCATGAAATAACAATTGTTATTTTTATATGTAAATAACATTTAGGAACTGTGTTTGAAATAAATAAGGAGCAGTAAATTAGTACTGATACAAAAAACATGAGAAATGTATTTTTTAATTTGATTTTGTTATGCACACGGATGTCCTTTGCTTAGATGCATGTTGAAAAGCCACTAAAAGTAATTTATCCAAATATCATCAAATATATCTAAGCATTGATTTTTTTAGGTAGAATGTGAGCTTATTGATGCATTTCAGTGAATCTGCTTTTCTATTTCAGCCGTTCCTTCTGGTCAGAGGCTTTCCATATACTTAGTTCGTATTTAGTTTGGACAGTTACTTATATATTGGCCAGATATATATTGGCCAATTATTTGGTCTTTCTGGTAGCATTTTTTTTATAAATCGTTTCGGAAAACGTATGCTAGTCTAGTGGTTTTGAAATAGTCTAATATAAACCAGTGTTCAATTAGTAAAACTTAATGTGCTGTTAATCTACTTTTAAAACAATTTGTTGGTTGTCACCAGTAAATTAATTGATTTATTACATTGTGGTCAGATTTGTTAAAAAGAAGAAAAAGTGCTGGAATAAGATCCTTGATTTTACAGGCCCACAGAGACTGAAGAGGTTTGGTTTTGAAAGGTTTCAAGAGGCCAATTTAAACCATGCAGAGGTGTTTATAAGGGCTAATGTGAGTGTCCTTTAAAGGACCCTCTTCACCATCTGGCTTAGTGAAGTACTCTCATCCAATAAAAAGTGCTAATACTTTTTCCTCTCTTTCACACAACAATCAAACACGCGTTCATATGCGTACATGCACATCACTTCCTATCCCAGTCTTGAACGTTGAAGTTTTGCACTCTTCTGATCCTTTAACTTAAAGCATGACTTTTACTTATGATCTCCATGGTAACCAGACATAGAGTGCTAATTTAGGGTAAGCATAACCCAGCAAACAGACCCCTTAATCCTACGCTTGCACCTGATGATATATTTTTATGATTCTGATCCTATTCTTCAAGTAGTGTTCTTAACAAGTGCCTTATTAGCCTGGGGTGGCATAATGGTTGTGGAGCTTGAATATGCATGTTTATTTTATTTTTAGAATGTATAATTTATATTTTATTCATTTATTTCATGTATTATTATTGTGATTTTATTTATTTATTTATTTTTGCATAGTCTGAAATAGGCCACTTTCATAGTATGTAACCTACAGTGAATATGAGATATATAGCAGAATATACACAGGTCTGCAGTAGTTATCTGATATAATTTTTTTTCTTCATATGGGACTGGTTCGATGTCAAGTTGATGGTTACACTTTAAGTCATTCCTTTGGTGATGCAGAAATGTAACCAATATACAAATGCACAATGGTTATTGGCTGTTCTTAGAGTTGTTGTTGTTGTTTTTTTAAATAGTTGATAATGGATATAAAAAAACAAATAAATTATTTTAATTGTGAATGCTTATTTTCCCTATTTTCACATTTAAAGTACATTTGCTGTCATCTACACTTATTAAATGTTGATCTTTAAAACCCAATAATTGAATAACAGTAATTATAAAAAAAATTGTAACACTTTTGAATAGGGAACACGTATTCACTATTAATTAAGAGTTTTCCCTGAACAAACTCCTAATGTGCTGCTTATTAATAAGGTAGCTGTTAAGTTTAGGTATGGGGTCGGATTAAGGAATCAAAAATATGGCCATGCAGAATAAGGCATTAATATGTGCTTTATAAGTACTAATAAACAGCCAGTATGCTAGTAATATGCATGCTAATAAGCAACTAGTTAATAGTGAGAATTGGTCGTTGAAATAAAGTGTTACCAAATATTTATTTAGACAATTAAAGAATATAGAATTTCGAGATCTACCATTTCTATTAGCAATAATTCTAATATTGTTGCTTACCTATTTTTAATTTTCATTTTATTGTTAGTTTATACTTCCTTCATGTACTTTGTAATCAGTATTTCTATACTTTACATTGTATTAAATTGTATTAAATACAGAGGCGGACAGTAACCAAGTACATTTACTTGAGTATTGTACTTAAGTACACTTTTTGAGTATCTGTACTTTACTTGAGTATTATTTTTTCTGGGAACTTAATGACTTTAACTTCACTACATTTGAAAGACAAATATGGTACTTTTCACTCCACTACATTTCTATCAAGGTCCTCGAAGTAGAAAGTCGTTACACAGTGGTTCCCAATCCTGGTTCTGGAGAACCCCCAACACTGCACATTTTAGATGTCTCCCTATTCAAACACACCTGATTCAACTCATCAGCTCATTAGTGAAGACT